CCCCGGGGGAGCACACGGGCCCGCGCGGGGTCATGAGGGGAGCCGTTAACGCGTTTACACAGAGAACATAGAGGCGACGTGACCCTATACACGTTAAAGCTGTGACCGCCGCGTACCGGCAGTGTCCCCTGCAGCTTTCCTTCACGTTCACACTCACCACAGGGCCCCCACCTGCCCCCCGAGCGGCCAGCCCAGGCTCAGGCCCACAGCCCAACCGGGTGACCCGCTCCACCCCGGCCCCTCCCTGTGCTTTCTTCTTTCTGCCAGAGGGTGCGTGCCCTCACAGAGCTGGGGGTGGCGGCGAGCACCCAACATGGCGTGCCATGCCACAGTCCCGCCTCCTCCACGTCCCCCTCCCGTCAGGATCTGAGGCACGCACACACTTGCCCCGTGCATCTCTCTGGGGTAGACTCCAGCTGCGGGACCCAGTCCCCTCACCCGGGGCTCGTGGCCGGCTGGTCACTGCAGCTCTGAGCTGCAGCTCCCTAAGGACACGCCCTGCCTGGCTGCTGGCGTCTCCTCTGGGCACTGTCCTCGGAGTCCCGCCCGGTCCAACTGCACACTTCCCTTCTTTAAACAAGAGCTGCGTGCGGCGTGAGTCCAGCGTTGCTGTCAGCCCCAGTTCGGTCCTGCTGGACGGCCCGGAAGGACGCACGGCAATGGCGAAGCCTCGCCTCGCAGCACCTGAGTGGGCCCCGCTTTGAGGCTCTCTCCCGGCGGTCTGGTCCGGTCAGCCCATCCTTCTCCAGAGGCCACGCTCCGGCTGGTCTGCGCAACTCCCATTTGGGGAGCACCACCTCGGGGTCCCGGTGTGGCTTCCTGACCCGGTCCCTTGGGAGCACGAGAGCCACGAGCGGTGCCGGTGCCGGTGCGGGTGCGCGTGCGGGTGCGGGTGCCGAGGCAGGGGCGAGCTCTGCGGACCGGGGCCGTGCTGCTGGGGGCGCTGCCCTACCCGCCGAGCTGCCCGCTGCGAGCTGAGCCCCGACGCACGCTGACGTCCGTATGGGGCAGGGCTGGGGGAGACCTCCTCCTCCTCCTCTGGACGGTCCAGCCACGTCCCCATCCTTCTGCCTCGGGCTCCTGCTGGGACCGCAGTGCGGTCCGCACAGCGGCTTTTTAAGACGCCGTCCCCCTGCTGTCTGGGCCGGCTTCCCACAGCGCACCTCCATGAACGGTCTCGGGTCCTGCGGCTGCTCCCCCTCCTCAACAGCACCGTGTGAGGGCCGGGCTCCAGGCCCTGATGCGCCCGGTCTGTCCGTCTTTCTTCTGCTTGTTTTCTGGGTCACACATGAAACACCTCGGCCGTCGCTCTCTCCCGTGTCAGCCGTGGCTCACCCTGGGCTCACGCAGGTGGACCGGCCCCACGCCGAGGTAGCACGTGCCGAGCAGGGCCGACTTCCCTCTCCACACGCACGAGCCCTGCTGTCCAGCGCCATCCTGGGGCTGCCTTTCGCGTGTAGTGGCCGCTCTTGGCACCCTCGTCAAACACGAACGTTCACGTCTAAACTCTCTTTACATCTTTACTGCCAAGTGGCATATTCATCTGCATGAGAGTGGCCTCTGGCAGGGCCCGGCTGCCCACAGCACTTCTGCTCGCTCCGTCGCGTCAGTCGGGGTCTGCCTGCCCAGTGGGGTTTTTCCTCTCAAGCTATCAGAGCCAGGACTTGAACCTGCTCAGCCGCGGGGGCTCCGGCCCCTCTGTGGTCTGGTCCGGTCACCATTGTTCATTGCAGTTACACACCCAGGACGTCACATCGCCTGCCCGCCTGCTGCAGGTGCACAGTGGCGTTGGGGCAGTGGTGTCCTGCATCCACGCCACTGCCCACATCCACAAAGCTCCCTCTTCCCCGACACTGTCCCCACCAACACCTGCTCCTCCACGCAGCCCTGGCCACCACACTCCCCTCTGTCCATGAATCGGCCCCCTTGGGCCTGCCCACTCAGTGGGGACTGACCCTGCCTCTCGCACTCAGCTTCAAGTCTCAAGGATTTGCCTGATCCGAGCTCACAGAGACCTTCCCGTGTGTTCTCGTACGGTCTCTATGGGACTCAGTGTATTTCCCCAGGTCTGAGTGCAGGCACTGGAGTGCAGGCTAGAGAGGGCGGGTCTATGCACCACACTGTCCTCCAAAAACCCAGGACCTTCGTCCACTTGACCAACTGTCGGGGGGCCTCCCGTGGGCCTGGAAGGAAAAAAAGGCCACTTGTCTAGCCGAGGGCACTTGGGAACAACTTCTGCCCTGCGTCCACGCTTACGAGCTGAGTCCTGGCCAGAGCCTCCGCTTTGACCCTGGCCGGTGTGTGCACTGCAGCCAGCCCGGCCATGCCCGTGCCCAGAGCAGAGGCCCCCCTAGCGCTGGGGCCGTCTTCTGATTCTGCCCTGACGGCCGGGCTCTGCCCACAGAACAGCTCAGTGCCCTGGTGTCCTGGCTGCTGTGCCCTGCCAGGCTGGAAGCCAAGCGGCCGTGGCTTGGATTCCTGGGTCAGCTTGAACATGCATGCAGGGGCCAGGTCCTGAGGGACGGGAGGGCTGGAGAACACCCTGTGGAGAGTGCTTCATCTCGAGTGTGCACAAGTGCTATAGCAAAGCCACACAGAGGGCCGAGAGCCACCTGCCCCCTGCTGTGCGGACGCAGACAACCCCAACCCTTGCAAATGTCCCGGCCTCCAGAGCCCAAGGCCGTGGCCAGGGTGCTCGATACAGCAGCCCTCACTGCCCCAGGCAGATGGGGCGGGGAGAAGCAGGCTGTGCTCCGAGGAACACAGACCCCTCGAGGAAGGGCCCCGACAGAGGCTGGAGCACTCTCAGCGGTGAGAGGACCCAAGGGTGGCTCCAAAGGCTGTGTGAGGACAGTGGTGGTGCAGCCCCGCGGTGCAGCCCTGCGGGATGTGCACAGGACGTGGCGGGAGCGTGGGCTGTAGAGGCTGCTCTGAGCTCTCGGGAGGAGAGCCCCACTGCTGGGGCAGGACACCATGGACAGTGCGTCTGTTCCGGTCTCTGCGTGGACAAGCTCTAAGTGACCACGCAGGACACTTGGTGAGTCTCTGAGGTGTCGAGGTGTCGCGCAGCCTCTCCTGACTGCTATGGCAGTGAGTGCACAGCAAGTTATGGGTGGGGCACATCATCAAAAGGGCTGCAGAGAGCTGAGGCACTTTCCCACATGGCTGACCATGGTTCGAATCCTCCCCTAGTGAGATGGGAGCTAGACCCACTTACAGGTAGGTAGGGTGGGGACTGAAGGGACGTCGCCAAGTCACTGTGTTTTTCTGTTTAATAAAGTTTCTGTGTTTTTCCTCTACGGTCTGGCTAATGCGCAGTATACACACCTCTTACATGTCTCCAAAGAACTCAAGACTCCTGGGGCCAGCAGATGGCGTAATAGTTATGTCACTGGACTCCCATGTAGTCGACCGTGGTTCAAGGCCTGGACCTGGTAGCTTAAAATTCACTGTGTGTATATGTGTGTGTGTCTGTGTGTGCAGGGGAGAATGGAGAAGGGATTGTGGCATGGCATCCCCTCTTGGGGAGTGATTTCTCATTTTCTGTCTTTCTGTCTCTTCAGCAAGTGCACGCATTCTATAGCAAAAATCTCTCTCTAAAAAAAAATAAAAAGAGACCAGCAGTTGGCGTAATGGCTGTGTCACTGGACTCCCACGTAGTTGACCGCAGTTTGCATCCTGGACCCAGTAGGTTAAAACTCACGCCAGGCACATGTGCGTGCATGCCTAAGATCCTGAGAGGAGAATGGAAAAGGGACTGCGGCGTAGCCATCCCCCCTGGAGGGTGATTTCTCGCTTTCTGTCTCTCTGTCTGGCTGGCGAGTACATGCATCCTATAGTGAAAACTTCTCCAAAAAAAAACAAAACCCTATGACTTCTTGCTACTAAGAGAGGAGATAGGGATACTGAGCACAGACAGGGTCAGGCCCCAGATGGACTCATGGTGGCTAAGCTGTCACAGCCAGAAGCTGGCTGCACTAGGACTCAAAGCAACTGTAGCTAGGGGCAACAGTTTCCATTTTAGTAACTATATTTTTCTGGGGGGGAGAGGTTTTTGCTATAGGAGAGTGCATTCGCCAGACAGAGAGAGAGACAGAGAGACAGAAAGCGAGAAATCACCCCCCAGGGGGGATGGCCACGCCGCAATCCCTTCTCCTCCATTCTCCTCTCGGGATCTTGGGTACACATGCACGCAGACGCACCCAGCGTGAGTTTTAAGCCACCGGGTCTGGGACTCGAACCGCGGTCGACTATGTGGGAGTCCAGCGACATAGCCATTGTGCTGCTGGTCCCCACAGTAACTATATTCTAACAAGAAGCACAGGACACTATGGTCTGCTGACCCCCAAAGAGTGAGGTAATAAGCCCCCAGTCTACCATGCAGCCTCCCTGAAGCTCACTCCTATCAGAAAGCCAGTCCATGGCTTGCACTGCTCCCACAGTCAGCCCCTCTTCAGCAACCCATGCAGGCCCCTTCCTGCGTGAGAGCGCTGTCCTTCCTCCCTCTTAGAAACTCCACCTCGCTATGCCCTCTCTGTCCGTGCCTAATTCTTCATGTAGGGCAAGAACCGGCACAGGTGCTCAGTTCATCGCTTAGCACTCCCGCGTCACTAGTGGTTTGAAAAGCACGTGCAATCCCAGAATGCTGACAGGGTGGAGGAGAAAGAAAAAAGGTTATAACACAACCAAGCTCCACCCCATCCCGAGCAAGCTCGTACTCTCTAGCAACTGAAGAAATGAAAAAAAACTCGAGAGATTCTAGCTACTGGGCATGTGTACTCACAAGAGTCAGAGAGACAGAGAACAAGAAAAACCCCTCAGTGGGGACGGTCATACTGCAATCCTTTCTCCCCTATGCTCCTCTAAGGTTTTGGATATGCATGCACATGCACTCAGCATGAGTTTCAAGCTGCTGGGTCCAGCCACGTGGGAGCCCAGTGACGTAACCACTGTGTCATCTGCTGGTTCCAGCCCCATACTTTGTTTACATGGAAAACAACACGCCGATGACGTGGTACAGCGGGGGAGGGGCAGTGGTCACGTGGGAGTCCAGAGCCCTACCTGCTACGCCACCTGCTGACAGCACACCAGGTACACACAACCCAGTATCCTGACAGGATGCAGGACTGAAAGAAAAGCACTGGGGGACTAGGCCCGGTGGAGGTTGTGCAGGCGTAAAAAAATGATTTTGCAAAAGATAGAGGAAAACAGTTCTTAAAGCTTTGGGAACTCAGGCAGGGCCGGCAGTGGTGTGGAGGTTAAGCAGGCTGGACCACATGGCCGACTACAGTTTGAATCCGAGACCCCACTGCCTGGGAAAGACGTCAGGCTTGTGCGTGCTTGTCCGAAATCCCAAGAGGAGAATGATGAGCGGGTTGAGGCAGAGCCTTCGCCCGGGCTGTGATTTCTCACTTTCTCCATGTCTCTGTCACTTAGGGGAGCGCATGCACCCTATAAAAGAAAACTAAAAAGCCAATTGGGAACTCCTTGGCCAACTGTGCGTGTGCTGTGGGGAGACACTGCCTTCCAGGAGGGCACTGGCAGGGTGGGCAGGGTGAGATGCTGCTCCTCAGGATAGGCGCGGAGCCCTGACCATGTCAGGAGGATTGCCAGGCCGGTGGGACAGAATGACGCAGGACCGTGCTTCACAACTGACGCAAAGCGACATGGCCACCGAACCGTGGCTGCACGGATGCTGGCGCAGGACCAGGCAGCACCACACAGCCCGCTCTAGGGGGACACGGGGGTGGGCCCAGCCACCTCCACCGTTTCAAGGTTGCCTCTGGGCCTGGGCTCAGGCCTGCTAGAAAGTGGGGCCACAGAGAGCCCCACCAGGGCAGGCCTGTGGGCAGACCCACGGACACCTCTGCTTCCCCGACAGACTTCACTCACCTCGGGGCTCTGGAAGGCGGGTGCCCTCCCCCCACACACACACACTGCAAAGCGGTCTGGTCCAGGCTTGGCTACAGGGGAACCTGCTTTATTTCTTTCTTTTCTTTCTTTTCTTTCTTTTCTTTCTTTTCTTTCTTTTCTTTCTTTTCTTTCTTTTC